AAATTGACTTCCAGCTCATTAATACGAACCTCTTTGCATTTGTTAGAAGATTTACCAGCCGCCCGTGATATAGTGTTTAAATACTTCTCTTTGGTGGCTGAGGTAGCAGTGCGAGGTTATTGCGTTGCTGAGCAACAGACAAGCATGACATCAAAAAATAGCAATAATCAAACGGCCCAAAGTCCAGGCGCTCAAGAAGATCCATGCTTTGAAGTAATACAACAAGCTTTGGAAAATATAGTCAATAAAGTGTCAGGAGCTTGGGGCGTGGTCGTCGCATCATGGTGCTTAGATTTGGTCGGCAATCTATCGGATAAATACACTAAACGGAAAATGTCTATCGGAGTAGCTTGCAACTACTGGCTAAGCTGTGGCACAATGCGTGGCTTGTTGACTTTAATTAGCATCTGTTTTCGTAAACTAACTAACTTGGAAGCAGAATCTTGCGTGGAAACTTTGTTAAGTGGGTTTTTGTTTTGTAAAAGTGCCTAAATAATTCTTATTATTATTCTTAAATATTTTAGATGCCTACCAGCGTTACTCCTTAACCTTTGATTGGGTTGTAGCACGTTTAGGTGGTTGCTTCCCATTAAAAATTATTTCACAAATTCTACAATGCAGTTTGAAACGTTTTGCAGATGATTTTCATTGCCGTTTCGAGTCAGAAGTCGGTATTTTAGAATATCTGTGCTTCGCTCACGAACAAGTTCTACGAGTCGTTGTCAAAGAACTGTTACAAGAAGGTTTCCATCCCAAAAAGAATTTAGATACTTTGATTATACCATTTCTTTTTGTATTCGGTAATTATTCCGATGTCTTACTACGGAATATGATTAGCGTCTTTTTGGATATGTGTAAGTAGTTGAAATAACGAAATTTTCCATTTGCAGCGATAAATTTGTTTCGTTATTTAGATAACAACGAGTTATCTCCGAAGCCACAAATCCGATGTAAAATCTGAATATCAGCAAATGCTCGTGTTAATGGCACAAAAACAAGCGGACGAAAGTTGTATGCCCACTTGTCTGGTAAGATAACTTATAGAAGTTTTATCAAATTTGAACTTTCCACCCTATGTGCCTATAACAATGAATTATAAAATTGCACTGACAAATGTAAAACGTCTAGCAAAAGCCAAATCATTTCAATGGAGAACATAGTTTAAGTTTCAAGAATAACCGAAGGAATAGCAACCGATATAGTCGTTACTTAGCTCTATAAAAGCCACCGCAAATATAAATTTACACCAACTATAAAAAATCAAGAGTCTTTTTTTTACAATCAAATGCAGACAATCGATATATTATAAAAGATCTGATCCAAGAAATTAAACGCGGTAAGCGAGCAAATTCAAGAATGCTTGAAAGCTTGAAAATATGTTTTAATTACTCTACAAATATGGATACGTCAATTATTCTTTCAAAATCAAGAACACACAGCAATGGAAACTTTTGCTTGGCAAAATTGGTACGCAGCTGTTCATTGATAAATTTTTAATATTGGTCATAAATCTGGAAATATATAAAAAGACTTTCCAATATTCAACGGCAGGGAGCAAGTCGTGAATACACGCATACAATGTTTATCATTAAAAATAATTTGATATTGTGAACTAAGGACCAGAAAGTCTTCTTACTTTTTTTTTTTTTAAGATCTCAGAGTGGAAGGTTTAACTCCTACATATAGTAAAGTAGCAACTTAATGAAAATTCGAAATGATGAAAGGTCTGAATACGTTTAACTGTAATTAAAAGATTACACACGCAATTAATGTTAGCTTTTTTAAGCGTACGCATCAAATTGTGAAGAATTTGGCCAAAAATCTATAGGAAAATTTGACCGATAAGAGAAGTTGGGCGCAAAGCAAAGTTCAGATGTTCAAGTGGAATACTTGAGAATGTTTATATAAAATGCAGATTTTGGGCTCGATGCTTGGAGAACAGGTAATGGGTCATGTACATTTAGATTAATTGCAGCGATTTTTGTATTTATTTAATATTTGAAACGAGGATA